GGCAAAAGCGCCTGCCTGGCAAGCGCAAGGTCGTGAGTTCGGTTCCCGGTACCGGAGAAAAACCAAAAAAAAATAAATAAAAATAAAATAAAAGTGAGTTTGGGTTGTTTAATTTCACAATATTTTCAAACCTACATTGCAAATAAATCTCAAACATCTTGAGATTAGACTCTCCAAATGTGGAACTTCTTCAAGGTGTTACTGATGTCCCTGTTCCTCAGGCTGTAGATGAAGGGATTCAGCATAGGGTTGACCACAGTGTACATCAGTGAAGCTACCATGCCCCTGATGGGAGAATATGACCCATGTGAATCAAGGTACGTTCCAATACCAGTTCCATAAAATAAGCAAACAGCTGACAGATGAGAACTACAGGTAGAAAAGGCTTTGTACCTCCCTGTAGATGATGTTATTTTTAGAATGGAGGTAATAATTTTATAGTAAGAGAAAAATATCCCTGAGATGGGAAAAAAGCCAAACATGACACCAACAGTGTAGATGACCGTGGTTTTGATTAAATGATCAGAACATGAAAGGTTAAGTAGTTGAGAAGGGTCACAGAAGAAATTAGCAATTTCCACATCTTTGAAGCAGGTAAATCGCAAGGCAACTAAATTGTGCAGCTGGGAATCCAAAATGCTAAGGAAAACACATACCAAGATTAATAGGACACACTGGCGTGGGTTCACAATGACTGTATAGTGCAGGGGGTGGCAGATGGCCACAAACCGGTCGTAGGCCATCACAGCCAGAAGCATGTCATCCATACACCCAGATATGAGAAAAAGAGACATCTGAATGAGGCAGCCCGCATAGGAGATGACTCTGTTGTGAGTTAGGATGTCCACAATCATCTTTGGGACTGTAGTAGAGGTGAAACAGATGTCAACAAAAGACAGGTTGGAGAGGAAGAAGTACATGGGGGTGTGGAGGTGGGAATCAGAAATAACAGCCAGGATGATGAGCAGGTTCCCGAGCACTGTGATCAAATACATTGACAGGAACAAGCCAAAAAGGACAAACTGCAGGTCTGGGTCCTCTGAGAAGCCCATGAGTTGGAATCCTGAGACACACGTTAGATTATACATTTCGATGATGCTTGAACACCTTTTCAAAAAGAAAGTTCATTAGAAAAGTGAAAACACACAAAACTCTGGATATGTTATGCACTTGAATACTCCCAATCAAATTATTTCTGTATGATGACCAAAATCTACCTCAATGTTTTTCCATTGTGACAACCTTGATTGTCATGAAGTCTTTCATTATTGGGTGATTTGTTTTCCAATACCTTCTCTTCAGTCCTGCTTTATTGATACTCTACAGCACAATGTTATGAGACCAAGAATTCTAGTATTCAGGAATCTATGAGCCCAACAAAGTACATAAAATTATTTTTGCAAGAAGCATTGAAAGAAAAGTTAAGCCATCCCTCTATTAAAAATATGATTCTATTGGAAGAAAATAAAATAAATTCAAATATAAGTTACCTGAGACATGGTGCAGTAACCCGTGACTTCAGGTGTGTAACATACTACAAGATATATGACTGTATTATCTGAAATTAAAGTGAATTTAATCATAATTAAAACAAATTTTGTTGAGCCATTAACTCAATAATGTTTTCCGTATAAATAAAACATCACTCTTGGGTTTTCTGATTTCCATCTTTCAATGAGATAATAGCTCACTGAGCCTTTGCTTGTGTATAAGTTATTTAATATGTAACTCCTATCTTTGTCAGTGAACTCTTATGTGTATAAATGAGGTTAAAATAGATGCATATAATTGTAGAACATTATGAGTACAAATGTAGCCTTAGCCCACACTGTATTTGTAGAAGATTTTTTTAAAAATAAATGATAAAAAATACATTTGATGGTTGAATTTTACACAGGATTTTCTTATAATACAATGCCACTAAAATATTTGCTAGGTTGACATGTCTTTGTTCTCTTTACTGGGTCAGTGCTCTATGGTATCACGGTAATATGCTTCATTGTTTTCCTGATCATAAAACCTTTTATGTACAATGACAGATGTTAGAAATAAAAAAAGCCTGACTGAGTCCTATCCTTTCTAATTCTGACTGACAGACTTTCACACCAATCTTTCCTGATAAAAGCATTGCATTTCTCTTATTTCAGGAATAATTTTCAAGGAAAATTAATAATTTCAAGGAAACTGGGACAGATATTCTTGTCAAGCCATACTTTCATTTAGTTTGGAAAAAAATTTAAAAGTGCATGAAATAACATAAACATATTTGGAAACTAATTTTCAGCCAAAAAAAGTACATAAAGTAGAGTAAACACATCTATAAATAATGTAACCCCCCTCATTTGTATAACAGGAATAATTATCTACTTCATATGGTTGATGTAAGAAGTTGTTTTGAAAATAATTTAATTTGTGTCACTCCTGGTTCTAATTTGATAATATATTTATCCAGGGATATTTTAAAGCATCCAGATACTGTAGCCTCAGACCATGAAGTTTATTCTGAATTCTACATTTCAGGTTCTTGTGTCACTTTCTTACCCTAGCATTAAAAAATTCTGTCTTAGTGTAGTTGCTAGAATTTAGAAAATGTTCCATTAATATCATCTGTACATATACAGATATATAAATATTTAATAGTATTTACATCAATGCCAATGTTTTTTCAGATCTAAACAACCCACCTAAGAAATCTGAATTCCTGCTATAATTTCATTCTCTTGCTCTCCTGTCCTTTTCGGAATCTATTCTCATCAATTTCATGGGTAGATTTTCCTTTCAATATCTTTGGGTCAGCACTGATTTGTGAATCCACAAGCAGTTTCCTTAAAAATTTTCCTAAAGAGTACCTACAGTTTATCTAAGTAATGTAAATCAAAATCACTGTGCTGGAGAGTAGGTTACATATTCAAGTGAATGTAGCTATCCTTTAACTACTGCCACCATGATCTGAGAGACAAAAAGTCTTCATTCAATTTGTAAATTTACGTTAAGACAATGTTTACAAAATTCTTGTGCCTCTCTCCTTGTCACTCACCTGAAAATTTGCATACAGTATATTGGTGGTGTTTTCTGATTTCCAACAAACAATGTATGCAAAATTTCAGATTATTTTTTAAAAATAGTGAATGAGTCATTATAATTTACATCCTTTTGTTCTTGAGATATATCTTCAAAATACCCAAGATCTTTCTGGTAGATAGCTCTTTATGATAACACCTCAAAATTTCAACATCATTTGAGGAATAACATTTCCTTTATGCTCCAGTGGTGGAACCTGTGCTGAGAAATTACACTTGGGAAATGAACACTTTAGTTCGGTGTCAGAGTCCATCTACAATAGCCAGAATGTGTGTGAATCTCTTCCTCTCTGTGCCCATCCTGTCTGAGGAAATTAAGGTGAATAATATTCACCTCCACATTGTGGCAACTAAACAAAATTTGGAACTTAAGTATTTGCGAGTTTTTGTTTCCTTATAAACTAATTACATGATTCTGCAAGTAGGAAGTTTGCAGATGAAGTAAATTGTATCCAAAAGGCACTAGCATCTAGACGATATGAAATTCTATTTTGCATCTTAGCCAGAAACATACATTCACCTGCTCCTTTCTCTTTGTGCCTTTTTAAATCAATGAATATATCTCTATTGTGCTTTTAAATATTTGATATAGATGGAATTATATGGATTATAGAGTCCATGTGTCAAATAGTATGTAGAGCAAAAAGAATTTAAGTAATAAATTGACAGATACTGTCCAATGCAGTATAATTTTTCATTGTTTACCATAACAAAGAAACATTTGAGCAGAGATTCTGAGCCTGAATCCCTGGTACATTATAGTTTCATATTTTCATTCTCACATTTCCTAAAGGGAAATGACATCTTGACCTGCCTTATCCCCATCTGAGACTATGTGGAATTATTGCAAGCATAAAGGAGGATGTGGGAAGCTACAAGAATATCTAACAGTGATAGCAAGAGAGAAACATGCAGAACAATGTCTTTCCTGGGATGGCTGCCCCTGATGCCATTCGTTGCTTTGCTCCATGGGCTTTCAGGAACCCCAACAGGGACGGCATGGTAATCAAGGGGTCCCTTCCTCGGGTGACAGAGAAGTGCAATGGTTGGTAGTGTTAAGAACAATCTGCCAGTGTTATTTCTTCTATAATTTTGTGTCTGTTATGAGAGAGTCCAACTCAAGTGAATCATTTTTCTACCTAAAAACCTACTTCAGATGCCATTAAAATGATAGGCCTTCCATTTTCTATAAGCAATAATAATGTGGATACTTATAACTACAGTAAGACAAAGGACATGAAAAGAAACAAGCTATATGAAAGAGATTGCTCAGTGCTGGAATATAGGAAGCCTTCAAAGCCAGTTCATGATGTCATGGTTACTCTCCTCCTCCTCTACATCCTTATCATCACCTTCGTAAAACTTTTGGAGTGCTTAGGAAAAACTACAGAAGGGAATGCTTTGTACTACTATGTGTGAAATAACAATAGGAAGTTTTTTAAAAGGGCGCATAGAAAACAAATTTGAAATAATAATTCTGCTTTCCCCACCACAACCATAATATAATGTTTCCATTCCCTGTAACTGATATATTTCATATTTCTTCCACTCTACATGACTACCTAAAATGTAATAATTGTCCTTATGATTAAAAAAAAGTACTTTCTAGGATCCTTCCCATATCATGGAGATCTCCCTGCACTTACTGGCTGATGCGATTTCTCTGCTGGGTCACAGTCAAGGAGAGCAGATCCAAAGACCCTCCTATGTCTTCTGCCTAGTGAAGGCTTAGGTTCTGTCCCCAGAGTTGAAATTAATACAGATCAGATAGGAGCTTCCTGATGCAGATGACCATGGAGCCTGGGACATGGGTATGGAGCTCACTGCACTGGAGTCATCAAAACGAAGCCTGGAGCACAAGCTGATTATTGACTACTCTGTAACCTTGGGGGCTCAATACCCAGAGCTCATAATTAGCCAGTTGGTCCATGCCATCCCTGTCTCCAAGGACTTTCCAACTCTAATGGAGGAAGAAGACCAAAAAAAGTGTGCACAAGAAGTTTGGGGATTTTTCCTCCACTCAGGTAAAGCTGGTGTATACAAATCACTTCTGTTATTTATGTATAATTTTTAAATGGCCATCTGCCTTTATTTCATTCAGGAGGTAAAATATACAGAGCAAACATCCTACGATATTAACCATATAATGTATACATTTTAATGACTTCAGTTACATTCACATTGCTTCAGAACACTTAACATCATATATGTTCAAGTAATTCTCATTTTCCAAAGTAAAATATATACTCAATATTAAAATTCCCTATTGATCCATCAGCATTACATTGTGAACATTTTTAAGAAGTCAAAGCCACAATATTACAATACTAACATGACCAAACAGACAGGACTTAAATTCTAGATGTTAGGTTGCTTTGCTTTTTCCAAACTATATTCGACTATATACCATAGGTCCCTAGGAAGACTATTCTGCTGTGGGGTCTCTCCGGGGTACTTGTAATGCTCCAGGTTCTCAGGGTGTACATGAAGGTACTCAGCACAGAGGGCACCACTCTGTACATCACAGAGAGTGCTTTACTCTCTGTAGTAAATTGTGATACAGCTGAGCCAACTTGTACTCCATTGCCTCTTCCATAATATAAGCAAACAAAGTTGAGAGGTACATGTAGAGAAGATCTTATCCTATCAAGAAATGCTGAGGGTTTTCAGAGTGTGTAAACATTTTTGTAATAAGAGGGAAATATTCATAAGGTGAGGGGTAGGGAGAACATGGCAGCAGCAATATACTTCACTGTGTCACTAGACAAGATGTTGAAACAGGCCAGATTAAGAAAGTGTTTAGTATGACAAAAGAAATTAGCAAGTCTCACCTCCTTGAACTAAGAAAATTGTAAGACAATATAAGACAATATAATTATGCAGATGGGAGCCCAATGCCCTGAACAAAAATTCAAATCAAAACTAAGAAGCCATACCACCACGACTCCCAGCTGAAAAGCGCGCACAGAGCCAGATAGGCCCCATCCAATCCCGGAGGCCAGGACCAGAGAACAAAGACCCCGCGGACATTACACACTGAGTCGCTGTGGCGGCA